ATTGCGTGATAAATCCCAATAGGTATCCAGTTTTGTATGGTGCCGGTTTTTTTCGCTGTGTTTTGGCAGCTGATCCGCTTAGGCAAACAGAATTTTTGGAATTTGTATATGCAAAATGTAAACTGGACAACTGCGAAATGAAATCCTCTGAACACTAGTTTTAGACTGCACCCAGTCAGCGATCACAAAGCAAGACAAAACTGATAATGGGGTGTCCAAGTGTGACCCATTTAGATAGCACACAATCGTATCACCTCTTAGAAGCAACCTGGTGTGCAACTGAGTGTATTTTTTTCACCATATCCAATCTGGTGTCCGACCAGAACAAAATTGCGACAGAAAATCGGAAACAGTCCAGAGATGACTGGCTCCAAGACAGACTGTCGAAGTGTATTCATGTAACATATGAGTAGTGTGTTATATCAAGGGGAAAGAATATCGTACTTGCAAAGGACCGTACACTCAGATTGACACTAGTGGGTGCCCAACGATATATGACGTTAGACGCCCAACTTTTCATCCCACAGGAATGTTTTTGAAGACCACTGTTAGTTGACCACCAGGAGTATCTGGAAATCAGCCCCCACCGAAGTAAGTGATTTTCTGGACTCAAATTAGGCTATTGACAGATGTATTGATGAGGTTATGTGACACTTCTTAGCGCTTATTATTTTAGTGGAAAATGCACTGCGTGTGATGTGTCATGGAAGATTGAGTCGTTTTCAATATATTATACTATTTATTGTTATTTATTATTATATTATATTATATTATAATATAATATACTATAATATGTTATATTATATTGCATTATATTGTACTATATTGTATTGTAGTGAAACGGTGATCTAAATTTGGAGCTCCTCACAGTTGTTCTGTATGCTTTCCATTGAACGACTTCACGTATTTGGGGAGGTGAATCAGGTGACTGAGTTTTTTCATACGGAGCGAGAATCGAACTGACAAGTGGAAGTGTCAGCTATATCGATCACTCCTGCTTGCCTATTGAAGACAGGGTCTAGCTCATGATGAGGAACCCGGTGACTGACTGGCACTTTAAACTCACATAATTCATCGGAAAGGCACTCTGATTACACATCAAACCACTGCTTTGCCCACATTTCCTATGAAACACAGGCAGAATCTATCCTATACCGCATCCAGTAGGCTCCACAAAATAAACTATTGAGGGCCTGCGAAGAACTAAACCATGTACTTTCAGTAGCTTTGTGAGTAGTACAACTTTGGCGTAAATTTCGCGGCGAGACGAACCTATAAAAATGTATATCCACACGGTTTGACTTGTTGGCTTTAAGATGAAGGTCTAATTCGGTACCAATGCAAGTAGTAAGGTTTCTGATATAGCCCCACAAAAACGAGTAATCAAAAGCCGAGTTTCATTTTTTGACAAAACTTTGTGGTTACCATGAAGGACTCACAGAAAATATATATGAATTCTCATGATGCAGGAACAGGCCTCTGGAAAAATAGTTTGGTTAAATATTACGCCTGCATATTGGGTAGTATGCATTAATACAACACATTACCTGCCCCGGCCATTTCAAACACTGACCAATACTAAACACTGAATGCATACGGCGCATAGTTCAGCACTTTCAGAGTTAGAAAATGAGATTATTCTTCAGTACTTGGGTGCTTTTGATATGATATTTTAGTGGACGAAAACTTTGACCAGTTATGGGCGCTAGCGCACTACACACAGAGAACATCTGGAACAAAAACTGCATGAGCGATTATTGAGGAAGAATGTGATGAACCGATTGATTACAGGCGTTGAACTAGCCAACTAGTTTCAGCGAAATCTACGTGGGTCCAGTTATGTTAACGGTGTATTCCGCAAGAAAGTGGAAAGAATTGGGGTATAATGGGGAACCGTGGCCTGAGTTCACTGCCATCTGGTAATTTACAACACCTATTAAAAACCATACAAGGGGACGAACTGCGACCTGTTAAGGCGCGATGTGCGAAGCATCCCATGCAAACTTTTCTGTCGCACTAGGATTGTATACACGACCGATATTAGCCACAATGCACAGCTTTCTAGAAGGCATTACCGGCAAGCTTGTGTCCACGTCGATTTACTGAAATACACAGCAGAAGGAAAAAAGCTTCCAATCACATCTCTCATAGTAGGGAATAATTGCTCAGCCTCATGTGCGACACTTCAATGTCCTTGAGAATGATTTCAGTGAACAAAGTAATTCGGATTCTTTCTTACAAAATGGTCGAAAACACACGAATTTGTCTGAAAAATGAAACGCCATAAACCCACCGCGAACCTGCCCATTGATAACAAGTCGACAGTTGTTCGCAGTCCAATCTACTGACTGCAGCCAAGCGTTCATTTGGAACCTGCAAAGGTAACCTGAATTGTTCACGCTTCAGCTCAAGCAGTCTGAGTTTCAGGCCAACATGCCACCGATACGCAGTGTATCGCTAGCCCAGACATGGTTGTTCGTTGGTCCTTGTGTGTTCCTCCGTGCTTATTTTTTTTAACGTCGCCAAAAAATAATTCCCCTGTAAAACCGAAATGGTGGCTAATTAATGCGCCGAGTTTGAAACTCATCACCAGTTATGTACACTGGGTATTCTGACAAAAGAGCAAAACGAAGACTCCATTCTTCAATATATAATACCAACATAATATCCTCCATTCAGAAAAATTATTCGTGCAAATAGGTTTCTAAAAAAGCGAGTTAAACTGCATGAGGATACTGACATCAACCCGTACAGTTGTCAGACCAGTCCGATCCACAGATCAGATCTGCGAGGTTTTTTTCTGGCAAACACAGAGCATGTCGGGATGATTTCTTCTGGGTGGTTTATTGCAGAATTTTGGAGAATTTATTGGTTGATACATGATATTTTACTTTGGGGAATTTGTGAACTGCCTGGACACCAGGGATCCAAATGCATTATGCTTTTATTTAAGAGAAAAGTGATTAATAGATCAAGTGACTTAACAACATACTAAGTGGATCAGCTTCTTAGATACGTCGGCGAAGGAACCATTGGCCTATTGTGGCAACGTCATGACACGACATACTGGAAGGGAATAACCACTGTGAAAAGTTGTGCACTTGGCTCTAATTTGGAGCGGAAAAATAGCCCACTTGTAACTTGGTGGCCTGCTTTCTGCATAGATATGGACCTTCCATAATTTTAAGTAAGACTGTCGTTGGTTGGTTCGCTGAGCTAGCAATTTACGTGAGATTGGATGCCCAAAAAGAAATAGCAGATGTAAATGGCGGCCAGATGTAAGTTATCTGGGTGTATCCATCACTCTGATAATATCGCTCACACATGCAGGGTTTCTAACTCGAGTGGACAGTCGCGGGTCGTTTGATGAGCTTGCTACAGTTCACAGCTACATCTGATTTATACGTTCTCATGTAGTTTTCCTTGATTCGTACAAAAGTGATAATATCACAAGCTGTATATTGAACAGGTAGTTGTTCACAAAGAAAATACTCATAATTAGTTCACTAGATACTCGAAACGTTACATCGGTCCACATTTTCCGATGCTTTTCTTCATTTGTGTACAATTTGCATTAAAGTAATTGAGACTGCGTCTATCTAACGAACCACAGGAAAGGCGAGTCAAGTAATGACGATGTCGGAGAGACGCAGTACAACGGACGCAGTTTCGATCCAGCTACAGATCCAAATATGTTTGTGAGATTTTGACAACAACGTAATAGCATGACACAATATGGATGCAGGAATTTCGACTGTAAATGGATTGACAGGAAGAGCTTGAATAATAACGTGGGACATTTTGCCCGCAGAACAGACAGAAACTAGCGACTGTGCTGCTTGAAGATAGCCAGGATGATTATATTATCTAAATGCAGCGGAACGTTGGCGCCAGGAAATCTGTCGGCCGCCTAAAAATCTGTCTGTACCCGGCTGTCCTATGATGGTGATAAGCACCCTATATCGAATGTTGCACGCGTCTAATACGCTGCCAAAACTGTCACTTCCTTCATGTTACGACGACTTATGTTGTAATGTCTTGGTGTTTGTTGTCCCCCATTGTGTCTACCGAGTACCCGTAGGCTAATTTCTACTTAAACTGGAATGACATACCGACGTTTACAAGCTTTAAGTGGTATGCACATTCGCCGGGAGGTAAAAATTTGATTTTAAAATAATGTTGTTAGAGGAAACATTCTGAGGTTCACATATGGAAAACTTCAAGGTCACTGATCGTATATCTTCCGATGTTCACTCGTCACTCTGCAGAACGCCATTTGACTGGACCACTGTGTTCCATACTTATGCTACTAGAGACGTGTTTCGTTTAGATCAACGCCAAAACCACTCGTTGTGCACAAATGTTTTCTTTATCAAGCTACCATTTTCGCAGTAATCACAGGGGAATATGATATTGAAATATGGTGATTATTAGTCTGATGTTCCTAGGTATGGTCGTTTTAATACAGGACGGAAAGAAATCATTTCAAACGCAAAACGCGTCGTGAATGACTTTATAACTGTATCTTTAGTGTTTTAAAACGGATAGGCTTACTCCTTGAACTCAGTTTAGCTCAAGGCTACTTGCAAACAGCTGGATTTTCTTCAGTCAGTTGCAAGGATTCGGAGCGCAAGCGGCAGATTTATGAGCTCCTGATTCCTGCGCCGTAAATCAGTCTCAGTAATCCTTTTCTCACCCTCAGTGACATTTCTAACGCTTGCTGTTCAGAAAACTTTTGCCATTCGTGCTCGAAATTACGCACCGAACAGTTGCACTTCCTTGGAAAATTGCTTCAGTCCATTTTGAACATAATATTTTACCCACATTATAACATGTACTCGCAGTAACTTGATGGTGCTTGTCGAGGTCTAGCAATGTGAGTAGCTCTGAAGTTATATACCTTTGACTGCGCTTTACTCGGCATCACGTAAATCACAAAAATATGTGTAGTTTCTTGTTCGGATAAGTGAATTCTTTGAATTCTGTGCGTAGAAACTCACATGAGGAATACTTGGGGTGTGACAGCGCCGTCTATGTAATTGGGAATCCAGTTATTTGTCTGGCGCAACACTTTCACAGTTAACTTAAACGATAAATAATAGACAGTAATTGCACTAACGTCTTGCAGTTTCCAGTATACCTTGTGAACTACTACGAAAGATGAATAAGCAGACTTAAGCCAGACAACTCCTGTGCGTCCGCTGGTCTTTACTCAGTGTTTTTGTAAAAGTGGGTGCCAAGCTGCGTCAAAGCAGTTGTTGGCTTATTCAAAATACTAGAATGCTGGTAAATGGTTCAATTGCTTTAAAGCGAAAATCATTAGTACACCCAAACGAGCGGCTGCAAATCAATCTGAGGTTTGTAATCTCATGAGACTTTCATGATGACGTTTTGAGTGAACCACAAAAATTTCACCTATACCTAGTCAGATTTTAGATCTCCACACAGGAGTCGGAGTGTTTGACGTGTAACCAGGCTACAAAAATTACAACGTACTCTGTAAGTCTTATTGTTTAACAATCCTTATTCGGGTTCCATCAGCCAGCGGAATAGCAGTATGCAAAACAATCAAAATTGTATTGGTGTGAACGTCCCGGATTACTGAAGGGCCAAAAACAGCTTATTTGTGCAAACATCGTATCTCATACTGAAGCACGTTCGCCAGCAATTTTAACTAACTAGTCTGCCTCTTCTGGTGCTAATTGTATGTGGTTTTAATCATATGTACCGGGCCTATCTCGTATTAAAACGATTCCTCTGGGACGGCAGTTCGGATTAACCAGATGGAAAATAGATGTGTATTCAAAATGATTAATGCATTGGTGATGACGGCGCAAACCCCCACAGGATGCTAATTTTGTCCTTAGAAATGTTGGAATATTTAAATGATTTTTTTGGGATCAGCACCGTGCCTTGGCAACAGCTTGCTCTCAGCAACATCTGGTCTGTTGGGAGTTGAATGTAAGTACTAACCATGCGTGAAACATAAACATAAATATAATTTTTCTACTCAATAATTCAAGTGGATTATTTTACCATAGATGTTTAAGGCCTTAATACAGTTGAGTTACATGGGTTTTCACAAGGTTGAAAGACAATTTTAGGTAGACTGTGTCGAAGTAGTCGAATAAATTTTCCTGTAGACCGGATGCGCAAAACATCCCGCGCCATTGTGACCAATGCGTAAGTGTACTGAAGCAATACGAACTATATGAGCTTGTCGCTCGTCGATGCACAAAACAACGTACGAGGCTTCTTGACTTGGCAATCACAGTGCTTCCTATAATGATGGAACATTCCGGTCCTTTCATGATGATTCATTCGTTAGTTTGTTTATTTTAAAACTAATTTCATATCCTAATTATGGAATTTTTTATGCCACTGGATTATGTTGATTTAGCGGGTGAGTGATGGTAACTTCATTTGAGAAAACCTCGTTAATATAGTGAAGCGGCATATCGCAACAACAATAATAATAGCTGTTTAATGTGACAGTTCATCGATAAATACTGATTAGGGGTATAAGGCATTAAGGTTTTGCTTGCAAGTGATGTCACCAGTTCGCTAACGTGTTCCTAGTTCAAGTGGAGCGGTCTTGTAGCACCCAGAAGACATCAAACCAGCATTCTCACTCCGGAGTACTCTCTTCATGGAAACAAAACACTCCTAAAGTATCAACATCTCTTTGTGTGTCTATATTTGAGGAATACAATACCAAATTAGATATTTAAATTTACTCGCTACCTAATACGCATTTAGCACCCAGATGTGTGTTTAATGTCACCGAGTAAACCTCTGATGTCACTTGCGAGTCTCTGAATTCCTCTACATCCATACGTAAGGCGGTAATAACTGGCAAACAGATTTGGCTGTTGCCCAAATCGATCCTGTTTATAATATAAAGACGGCCTTGAGAAACCCACTCTTTGGATGACCCACATCACACCATGTTAAGTTCAAATGCGTGGTGTCTTCTCTTCAAATGTCTTCCGATTTATTCCACCGGATATACATACCCAGTGTGCTTAGGTTCTCCTGATTTAAGAAGATATTTCTTCCCTCAATTATATGAAACTTCAAATTCTGGTTGCACTTAGCCTCGCAGGTTTTTTTTGGCTCAACAAATTCTCTACATAACATTTTATCGCTTTTTATCAAACCTTGTCAGGACATTCGTTCCCTCCTTTCTTCCGTTTGCGACCCTAAGTAAAACCTTATAAGCGTTTCCCAAAACGCTAAGTAACCAGGCGCATTTAATTCGACGAATTTACCTATTTCCATACCTATTAAATTTTTACGTGAGTATTAACAGAATCACTCTTTTGTGATATTTTTCAACTGAATGTGCGGAACAAAGGGGCATTCTGTTACATTTCGTAAGATATTTGATATATCGCAGTGTCTTCATAAAGGAGCCTACTCAAAAGGTCCCTGAAAAAGCTTTGACAGACTACGAGCGGTTTCGCCATTTTTTGGCCTCATCGGATAGGCGCAGTGTTCGAGTGCCTTCAACTTTATTTTGTGCTTGTAACCATACTGGCCAAAATTCGGCAAACATCCCCATTTGCATGACCAGTCGACAATAAGATGCACTATGGAATGCCTGCCTTCCGGCTTCGTATTCCACCACTGAAATCAGGACTATGTTACTCTTATTGACAGCGAAATACACATCAGTGTCGCATCCCACGAAGCAGAAGTATATTTCGATTCCATCACTACGGATGGAACCCATCAGCTTAGCCGATTATTGGATTCAATCCTCGGCAATCAGCCGGCGGTGAAGAATACTCAATTCGCTGACATTATCAAGAACGTATCCTCACTCCATCTGTTGGTCTGTTTATCACTGTAAGTAGGCAGTAAGCAGAAGCCATTAAAACGCTTGCAGACAGTTGATCAGACTTTTAGCAACAACGAGAGAATGTGTGCAACAAAGGATAAACACCATTTCTCTGGTTTTGTTGCCCGCTTATCTAGAAGTCTGGTTGGAAACCTAATACATGAACTTTCATGAGGACTATGATGAGGCTCATTTGACGGCATCATTCCACGTAGTAAGGTGGAGAACGCAGGGCAGAACTGTGACGGCACCAACAAGAGGTTACGGTAAAGTGCCGTTATTAGGAACGTTGTTAATACAGCATGACAAAGAGAACTGCAAAACTGGGCGAACTTCTAGGACGGATTGAGAAACGGCAAACGTTGTATTTAGGCCAGCAATGGAAAGCCAAGCAAACGGAATAACGCCAGACACCCCTTTTTAAGGTACAGCCTAGAAGAAGCATTTTGCGGAGGGGGAAACCTACATTAGCTCGAATTGAGCAAATCAGCGGACAACGGTTCTGTTCGGTTATAATACTGCCTGGGAATTGCGCAGGTGCGTACAGGAGGCCAAGAGGCCTCAATTTTATAAATCAGACCTAGCCGCATAAACAGTAAAAGCAACGAAAACCTCCTGGCTTATGAAGGATTTATCTGACAAGTGATTTCGGGAAATTGACTTGGGAAAGTTTCGGTCGTACTCGAAATCTCTACTACAAGCCGCTTATTTAGCCCACCAACATTAAGCTAGGGTTTTACTCCACACACAACCAAACAAAACAAAAATAAAACTTCTTTCCTTCAGCCAGAAAATGCAGGATCCCTTAGTTCCTGGAAATGGACCACCGCGGACAGCTTGTATAATTGGTTCCTTGTCTAACGAAAGATAGCTCCAACTTGAAGTGTATCCTCAATCAGATGTGTGGATATTTTTCGGCCTACATTCTTCACCGTTTTCACCTTAGGGATATAGTTGCATGGATTGGGAACGCCTAAAACTACCTGTTCAAAGCAACAACATATAGATTTGGCAGACGGAATAGAGCGAGATGTGAAGACTAAATTATAGAGTGCAAATTTAAGGAACGCTGTTGAGTGTCCGCACGTTCAAACAATACGCAACCGTTGGTTGCCTATGTTAATGGCTTTCACGAAAGACTCAACTGAATCCTTCATTTATGATATTCTTCAACTGAATTTGCTGCACACAGGCCGTCTCATAATTCAGTTGGCACGATACTCCAAATATCGCAGTATATTTTCATAAAGGAAACTACTCACAGGTTGCTGAAAACTCTTCGACAGCCCGCGACCGGTTTCACCCTTCTTGGGGCTCATCAGGTAGGCGCAGTCCCCGAGTTTCCGTCAACCTTATGTTCTACTTGAACCCAAATCGGACTGATTTCAAGAAATACATTAATTTGCAAGTCCATGTGGTTATCACGAGAGCCTCAACTACAGCTCGTTCATGATGTTCTACAATTTGGGTTCAAGCAGAAAATAAGGTTGACGGAAACTCGGGGACTGCGCCTACCTGATGAGCCCAAAGAAGAGCGAAACCGGTCGTGGGCTGTGGAAGAGTTTTCGACAACCTTGTGAGTAGTTCCCTTTATGAAAACTACACACTCATGTTTCGAAGGTTTGCACGAAGTGTGCAAAGGAACATGTTTTTAGACGCTAAATGAGTTCGGAAATACTAAATGCCAAATGTAAACAAGCCTGGGGGAAACCAATTTTTCGGAACACTGTTTAAAAAACATTTCCTATATTGTGTGTCAAGTACCTTTGTGGAACTCTTAAAGGCTAGCCAAAATGGCCTCCTTAAAGCAAACGATTTATACCCCATTATGTCAGCCCCCTGAAAAACCAGTTTATTTCAAGTCATTTTCTCGGGAAGTCTCCCAAATACATCTTGTTAACTGATAGTGTTTGAGTTGATCGTTGCTTCATGGAATAACCAAATACTGCAAGAAAGCAGGCGCGTTCAAAAGCAAAGTAATCTAAGAAAACACGCTACTATCCGAATGTGGTATCATGAATTGTCTCCTCTACATAAATTTCAACAATGAATAAATTCGTAATATGCCTCAATCGAAATCGCCTTGTAACGTGTCAACACGAATATGGGGTTCGCCACCGGAACAAAGCAGTGCAATGAGAGTGGTCCTGTACATCGTGAAGGTCCATTTGCTTTGACAAGACACAGTCACTGAAATTATACCAGAATTTATCCGTTCAAGATGAGATTACTCTCGACCA